ACATCTGCTCTTTTTTATTATTATTAAGAATGTGAGGTAGGTTAAACTGGATAGATGGTGTACCCCAACACAACTTGGGTGCTACTTCCATCAGTACATCAAAAACCAAGGTACATTGCATAACTACCCACCTTATGGTGTGTGCCTAGATGGTACATGTCTGTTTTATAGCTGCATTGTTTCTATTTTCTTTCAATTTCTATGTAATATTACAATTATTTTTCATCTAAGGTATATATATATATATATATATTTATTTGACAATAAAATCTAAAATGAAGGAAATGGCACAAGACTAGCTTGTTTCATGTTTTTTTTTTAGTTTTTGTTTCTCATGCTCACTTTCTGAGTGAACTTCTTTTTTCTGTAATGTTAATGTGCTAGTTTTTATTTAATATGTTTTCATGCTTTCTTTGTTGACCCTAAAATACAATTATACAAATATAATGTGTCACTTTCTCAAATGTTGCAAAAGTGAAATGATTAACTCTGGCATAGCTGCTGTGGAAGATGATGTATCATAATAAGAGTTCTTAAACATTTCAAACAACATTTATTCTATAATTTCTATAGTTCACAGTAATGTCAAAGAAATAACTAGAATCTGCATAATTCTATTAGAAATTAAATTATATCAAAATAATTTTGAGTTGTCTGTACAAAGAAATAACTGCCAAATTTTTCATTATTAGGTGTTTATCAGGGTTCCATATATTCGAAATCCATTTTATGATGACCATTTCGATATCAAAGATCCTAAGTACCTTATTGGAAAAACTTTGTACCTTGCTGGTAAAGAGCACAATAGTATTTTGGGAAGAACATACCAACTGGTTGGCTTAGGAATGTATGAAAAGTGGGAGAAGGCCGAAAAACTCTTGAGTGAGTTTCTGAATCTATTGGAAAGTCAGCCAGTGTTATTACAAGAAGGGGTAAGTTGTCATAGCTGTAGGTTTTAAACTGAACATAGTTTCAAAAACCAAATCTACATTTTGCTTAATATAATTGTAAGTCAGTTTTTCCTCTATCAGAAATATATATATTGTTTGCTGTGAATATAATGGTGAGAAATTTCATTTACAGTATGAGTTGATGTTTATTCATTTAAGATGATACATTTTTGTTACTTATCCAATACGTATAAATTGGAATTAATTTCTAGTTCCAGTATGTCAAACATTTTCCTTAAGATACAGAAAATGTTTGAATATAAATGGAAATAGCAATGAAACAAGTAGATGGTGCCAAACATTCCTTAAAAGAATTTTTGAATAAAACTTTTTCAATCCAGATACCTTGAAAACTTTTGATTTATTACATGTGTTTTCATCTGATTTTGAGGTTTCCTTGTGAATCCTTACATAAAAATTTTAATGCCTGCCACATGAGCCAGCACCTTTTAGTACTGAGTCTAGGATGGTTAACAGGGAGGGGGGGGGGTCATTCCAAAAACATGTGAATTATGGTTATTTTGACAGATCTTGATGAATGAAGCTCTACTCAACTTCTAAAAAAAAACATTAAAGAAAATATGACGAAATCTATATGGATTATACTATGGTGGTACCATAGTGGGCATTATACGTCCTTTTTATATTTACTATTCATTGCAGAAATGGCATTTTTAATTTGAGGAATGTCAGGGAAATCAACTTTTAATGCATCTTGCTTTTGCCTTGACTTCAACACTGCATCTTTGGGCTTTACTGTGCAGTTAGTTTCACAAAATATTAAAACTGATGATTTTTTATATATGATTCCAATTCCCCTTTTTGAAATTAATAATACTATTGTTCCTTTTTTTTCATCTTTAACTCTCAGTGCAGTAATCAGTTGATGAATCTATGATTCAGCTGGTATTATGTTAAATTGATTGGTATATCTTCGAATAAGTTCTCTCATCTGACCTGGACCCATGGTTCATCTAAACCATCACATTTACAACCACATGTAGAACATTTCAAATATATTTTATTGCTACATCATTTTACTGTACATTTACAAGTTAACTTTTCTATGTTGGCTCTCATGGTCTCAGGTCAGGTCCAGCAACCTTGACCTCAAAAATAATGTTAGATGTCTTCTTTATGTCTAATTAAAACAACCCAAACCTTTCTGGAATGACTCTTTTATTTTTTGTTTGTTAATCCACATCAAGATGCTGGGCAGGCTCATGAGGCAGGTGTTAAAATATTTTTTATGAACCTTGAATTCAGAAAATAGTTTGCCTTTGATGAAGAAGGGTCTATGTTTTGATAGTTTTCAGGTTATAGGATTATTATTTCTGTCATTAACAAAGTTGCAAGAATACACTAGTCATATTAAAACTTAAACACAAGTCTATCTTGTACCCTGTAATTTCTAATACTTATGGCCATAACAATTCAAGCAATATTGTATTTTTTGATGTTCAATAAACTACAAAAACATTTTTGTAGTAGAGTGGTACTTAATTTTTGCATTAAATCACCACTGATATGTGTTAACTAATGAGCGAACAGTTAAAGAATTTAGTATTAGATGTGGACCTTTATAAATAATGTTTTACTGTACATGTTGTGTCAATACAATAGTAATGTACATTTTTTGCAGCTTAACTGAGTATGTGTAAACACAATAGTATTGTAGATTTAGTACATGTATGTATGTAAATTTGCTTTTTTTTTGTTGAATAAGAAAACTTGGTGCTGTAATTTTGATGGTTTTGTAAACACTTCTTGTAGTAGCATAAACATTTTTCACAAATGTAAACATTTAATTTTAAGATACTAAGTAAAGTACACTCAGAAGTTTAAATTCTCATATGAATTATTACATTGTAGCTGTTATTTATATATAAAGAAAATGTTGGCAACAAATCATATTAATCATTTTTGAGCCTCAGACTTAGTTGGGCAATTGAGAATGCTAACTGTAAAAGTTTTGATCACCAGATATGAAGGAAGTTACATCTTCTGTCTCAGACAAACTTGAATTATTTTTGCATAATACACGATTACAGTGTTTTTCATATCATAACAGGTGTTACACCTGGTTTGAGTGAATTATTTTTTTAAGTGAATTGTAATTGTTAGTCATTTTTCTTTAAGCTTGTAAATTCACAAAAGCATTTTAGAATACTTATTGTGTGAACCTGATGAAGATTCTTTTCATTGATACATTGATTACTATAAGACATTATTTAATATCAGGATATCTCATGTGCTTGAGATTTCTGATACAATTACTTACCTTCTTTCACAGTTCCAGCTATTCTTGATTTGACTGCTTTCTAGTGCACAAATGTTTGCTTGCCACTAGCAACATTTTCTCGTCTTTTACATATTAGATTGATAGACACTTAAATTGTATTTAGGTTTTACTTTTATATTTTAGTTAATTATGTATTATTTGTGATTATAAAGGTTTAATGATTTGTTTACATTTACCTGTGCTTGACTCGCTCATGAATGCTTATAAAAATAGGTGTTTGCAAGAACCATTTTGCATGCGAGAAATGCATCTCTGCCCGGAATCTGCCCATCATGGGTGTATAATGGCCCACATTATAAAAGACAAAGAATTCAAAAGGAAAATAAAACATTAAAAATAAACTATAAGTGACTATTCTATGAAGGTAAGTACATATTTCCTTAATTTAAACATTTCAATGCACTGTACTTTGATGATAATAGCTAGAGTTAGTGATATGGTAGAGAAAATGGAAAATAAGATATAAACATTTATGTTAAAAAACTTTTAATATTCATTTCGGAGGTCCTAGAGATTGTGCAAATGAAATTTGGAAACTGTAAGGTAATAAATAGTACTTTTTTTTTACTCAAAATAAAAATCACCTTGCAGGTGAACTATTCAGAGTCTGAGTGCAAATAACTACATTAAATAATGAGTTTTTTATTAGAATAATAAAAAAAATATTTTACTGAAACTACATATTTTTAGGAAAGTTCAAATAATTTCATCCACTAGGTTCATTTTTGTAACTACTTACATCATAGGGTTAAGCATGCACACACCCTCCTATCACAGCCAACTCCCTCTATGAATAAGTAAAGTTGTTTAAACATTTGTTTAACAACAAGTTAAAGCTCGGAATGGTCTATTCTTT